GAGAATAAGGATAAAAATTAGAGAGATTAAGTGAGACTAACTTAGAAAGGTGGGAGATCTCGTTTGGAACTTGTCCTGAGAACTCGGAATAAGAAAGGTCAAGGTGCTTTAAGCTCACAAACTGACCAATTTCCCTTGGAATCTTGGAAAGCTTAAAATCATTAAAGGAAAGATTGAGCCTTTGCAAGCTTTTGGTGAGAAAAAGGCTGCTGTTAGAAGGGAAGGAGCCATAAAGATTGCTGCAGCTGAGATCAAGATCAATTACATTACCTGTGACATTGTCACATGTGATCCCGTTCCAGAAGCAACAATCTGTACCCTCCTTCCATGACAGTGTCTTAGAGTAAGATTTGACACCAGAAAAATATTCACACTCAGAAGAAGCACTCTTATTGATGGAAAAAGCACTAATGAATTGCAACAACACTGTGGCATGCTCGTGAGAGCAGAGCTGTGTTGCTGAAGAAGAAGAAAACGATAAAGAGAACGAAAAAGCAAGGAAAAACGAAAGCAGGAAGACCAATGGACAGAGCTTTAGTGAGAACCCCATATTTTCTCTTAAAAGAGTTGAAATAGTAATGGATTTCTTGTGATTTTAATGACTGGTATCCGGTGGTATTTATAGGAGAATTAATACGTTTACATATCAACCATTTACTGAACTAAAAGAAATCTTCTCTATAAGATCATTCTGGGTAGCTTCCAACTTTGAAGACTTTAAGGGGAGTACTGTGCTTGTCATGTAGACTTGAGATTCCTATCCAACCATTTAAATGTTGATCTTTCATTTATCATCAGTCAATTTGATTGGTACTCAGTGCTCCACAAATTTGTTATCTCTTTCAGTGATTGATTTTGTGATGAAAATTAACATAGAATTAAAAATAAGAATGCTGAAAATTCTTTTTAGACTAGAAGACAACTTAAATATTTTTCTATGGAAGAAATTAGAGAGCCTTTGATTTGACTGACAAACTAGAGACTTCTATTGAGTATGCAAAACTTCTTTGAAAAAATGTGCATGTGCTTGATAAGGAATGGTATAAAAAGTAAATTAATGCAGAAGCAATACTAAGAGAGTTAAAAAGTATCACGTTTTTGGGGTCAGCAGAAATCCTTGAAAACTTAAAATTAATGAAAATTCATATTATAAGAGAATAATCTGAATGTTATTTTCTAAATTAATGTAAAGGATTTGCCTAGTGTTCATATATATGGTTGTCGAGAGAAAATTAATAAATTAATCGTTGAATGTTATTTTCTTATTGGATTGAGTGGCCATTGGATTCAAAGGAAAAGTTTTCGTGAGGAGAGGGACAATGTCTCATTTTTTTTAAATAAAAAATGAAAGTGACTCCTTTAATTTCTTTTAGAGTGATGAAAGGGGCGATAAACATTTTCCTAGAAACACATGCCTCTTTGTATGAGAACTCTGGTTTTTTTTATATATACACCATAGGGTTAACTGTGTATACATCATAGGGTTAATTGTATGGCAATATGAAAATTGTATTTATTAATTAGAATGCAAACAATTTTACATGAAAGATGAGATTACTCTTTGGAATTATCCCTTTTAAATTTCTTCTATGTTTCGCATACTAACTCAACAACCTTAAAAAAAATTTTAACTCTCAATAAAGCATTAAGTCTAATATTTAATTTTTTTAATAAAATAAATAGCAATTAAGTGTGACATTAAAATCATTGAATATGAACTAGAGATGGTTAATGGGTCAAAGCCTTGGTGTTGGTAACCATGGCTTTCCCTTCGGGTACAAGGAGCATCAACTCACCACAAGCTAGTTGCTATTAAATTGATCGGCAAATTAAATTACTTATTAATGCCCCTGGAGGATATTCTAAACTCGATTGATCCTCCTACTCCTACTTCAAAATTTTCAAGTGTCACAATAACTTAAGATTCCAATCCAAGTATAATTCTTTAAATTAGATAGTTACTTATTTTCAACTTTAAAATATCTTTAAATTTATAAATTCTTGGATGTTATTTTCTATATCTGAAGAAATTAGAGAGCCTTTGATTTGATTCATGAACTTGAATCATCAGTGGAGCATACAAAACTTCAAAAAAAAAAAAATGCGCATTTGGCATCGTTGATAAAAAAATATAAGAAGTGGCATAAAAATATATTACACAATGCAGAAGCTAAAAATAATTGTTATTTTTTTTATTTAGAATTCTTTTAAAATTAGTTGTCATTTT